ATTTATTTGATAATTTAATTTTTATTTAAATAAGAGTTTTGACTATTAAACCAGAGCCGTAGGGATCATGGAGGTTGCAATATGCTATTGAATAATTTTTTGTAAAAGTTAAAGGTACTCCACTAAACGAATAAGTGTTTTTAATTGTTTTTTTTTAATTCTTTTTATTATTATGCTACCCCACATTTTCTTTTCTTGGAAAAAGATTGTATCCCTCACGCCGAAGACAAGTTTTTGGGAGACTTAAATTTTGGGCTAAAACCAACATTTAGCTTCTCATCTTATAAAATTGATAAATTTTAACCCTTAACCTTATACTATAACATTTTTAGCCCTTTATCTTATAAAATTAATAGGTTTTAACCCCTTACTTTACAAAATTGGTAAGTTTTAACCCCTCACCTTATATTATAACACTTTTAACCTCTTATCTGTATGAATTGAAGAAAATAACCCTTCTATTATGATACTTTTAACCCCTTATCTGTATGAATTGAAAAAAATAACTTTTATTTAACGTCAGGTTTTAGCGTTTTATTAGTTCTGTTAGTTAGCTGTCAGTTCTGTTAGTTAGCTGTCAGTTCTGTTAGTTAACTGTCAGTTCTGTTAGCTAACTGTCAGTTTTATTAGTTGACTGTTAGTTGACTGTTAGCATCCGTTAGTATTCCATTAATGAAATTAACAAATAAAATTGAATTTAAATTTTATATTTTTTATAACGGAATGCTAATAGATGTTAACAGTCAACTAACAGAACTAACAGAACGTTATAACCTGATATTAGGTGAGGGTTATTTTCTTTAATTCGTATCGGTGATGGGCTAAAAATATTATAATATAAAGTAAAAGGTTAAAACCTACCAATTTTGTAAGGTGAGGGGCTAAAACTTATTAACTTTATAAGATAAAAAGCTAAAACTATTATATTATAAGGTAAAAAGTTAAAATTTACCAATTTTATAAGATAAAAAAGCTAAATGTTGGTTTTTACATAAATTTTCGCAGTATCCACCTACCTTTCCCAGGGACAAGGGAGGGCAACCAGGAAAATCCGTACCAGAAGTTCCACATGAGTTTCAGTTTATGGGGAGGACGAGGCGTGGATTGAAAGACCGTTAAAAACAGGAACAGAGATTGCCACCCCAACAGCACTAATGCCCTCGACTACCGCGCTGCTTGCTAGGGACGTTAAAAATAAAAATAAAAATGGACTACCATGTATCAATTAGGGTTTGTTTAGTGTGACTTGTGAGAATTTTTGTTTTTAAAATATTGTTATAAGTAATAAGTTTAAATTTTTATTAGAGAGAAAATTTAAAAATTACCTTTAAAGATAGAAAAAAATGAGTGAAAAATAAGTAAAAAAAAAGTTTATGAAAAGTTTAGATTTAAAGTTTTTAAACTTTTATTGTTTAAGGTCTTTTTAAAGTTAAAAAAATTTAAAAATATAACTTTTTAAGAAAAAAATTTTAATTTATAAAATATGAATAATATCAAAAAACTGAAACTCTTAGGTACTTCACCAAACAGACCCTTATTATGTCTGATATAAAATAAAAATGAGTTGTAAATAACTCAAAATTTCATTTCCTGCCTTTAACTACGTGAAATTATTAGCAAATCCCATCAATGAAGAAACTGGGGAAAAAGCACACACTCTTGGATTCAGCCATGTTAGTGCTTTGATGGAATACTAACCCCAAAACTGAAACATCTTTGTAGAGCCGTATTAAGGTTTCGAACTCTGCAAAAACTTCCTTATCAGGCGCCATGGAGAAATGTAAATGATAGTGAAAGCTGTAGAAGAGGAACTTGTGTGCTTTGATTTATATAGTTGTGATGTGGTGTGAAGGGATATCAAATGAATTTTTCTCTTTCCTTTCATCAAACTCAGGGAACTTAAGCATCAATCTACAAGAGTGATACACCTCAAACTATAATAAATAAAGAGTAAGAGAAAATTTTTAGTTTTTTTTTATCTGATTTTAAATCAATAAACTCTTTTTTCACTTTTTTTAAAAAGTTTTATATAACTTTCTTAAAAATCACTTAATAAATTTTTTTATTAATTTTACATGTACTTTTTCTATACCAATTACAACAAAATAAACATTTTAATTAAATTTTATTACAAAACTTAATATTTTTTATTTATTATTTTTTGAAATTTTTATATAATAATTTTTCAATTATTTTCTTAATAAAATTCTTAACAAGAAAAGTCAGCCATTGACGGGACTAGGGCTAGGCATGGTATGGTATGGTTACCATACCACTCTCAAATAATGGTAACCACTCTAAATGGTAATGAAAAACATTTACCACTTCCATACCAATTGATGATTTTTTGGTAATGGTTACCAACCGTTTTTAATGGTAATGACACTTGCCCTACCACTACCATCCCATATTACCATCTTTAAACTTAT